TTCAGGATAAGACAGCTCTACTCTCTGATTATTTCGTATCGAGAAATTGCGAATAGCAATTTCCTGCCTTTTTCTTGAGTAGTTTCCCGCAATTGTTAATTCGGACGTTCTGATTTTGATTTTGCGTTTTTCAGTTGGTTCGAGAAAACTGAGCATGACAGGCTCCATTCGAAATTTTCAAAATTAAAACTTCACTCCAAAATTACGTGTTTCTCAAGGTCAAACCTCCAGACATGACCGACTGGCACATGTCTTCTATTTCAGATAGGACAGCTCTACTCTTGTTCACTATGATGGAAATTGCGAATAGCAATTTCCCACTTGTTTTTTATCTGACAACTTTCCCGCGATTGTTGTTCGATCGTTCTGATTTCTCTTTTTCGGTTTTCAGTTATCGCGAGAGAATAGTGCATGACAGGCTCCATTCGAATTTTTGAAAAATTAAATTTCACCCCAAAATTAAGTGCTCTTGCTTTTCTCAAGGTCAAACTTCCAAATATGACCGACTGGCACAGGGCCTATTTTTCTTTAACCTAAGTAGGCGACTGTTAAAATGAGAGCGGATAAAACCCTTGAAGAAAGGCAAATTTTAGTATTTCTGATATCATAGGAATTGCAAACAGTTTCTTATGGACGCCGGAGCACTCTATTTCCATTTCGAAGTTGCTTTTATGCTGAAGTTATGAATGGAAAAAAGTTCAAGATAAAATCTTGAAAGGGAGACGCCAAGATTGGGTTGACATCTAGAAATGACTCGCATGAAGTCTGTATTCGGAAAAAAGATAGCTGAGGCTATAAATGGACAAGTATGTCCTTCAAAATTAAGCTGGTTATCTGGATGGACTAGCGTGGTGTGCCCGCATCGTCAAAATGGTGTCAATTAGAACAAATCGTATCATTGAAATCCTCGAGCTAGAAAAAGCCTTTTTTTGCAAAGTCTTGAAGTTTGGTCAGCCAGTTATGCCATGTACATCTTGTATTGTCAGTGAATGTACATCCTGCTACGTTTTTTTTTGAACTAAAGGTTTGACCGTGCTTGGGTTTTTGATTGTTTTGAGAAGCGATGTGACTGCTCGGAACCGCGTAAGGACACCCTAATTTTTGAATTCCGATCATTAGATGACGTACGTATTATTTTCTTTAGGACAACACAACTGAAAATGCGAAGTTCACTTTTATGCAAAAAAACTCTCTCACTGCAGGTGAGCTCGGCGTAAATATTGCCTCGAAAGTATATGAGCAGAGCGTTTAAAAATAGTATATCTGCCCAAAGTTTCAATTTTGCATCTTTACCAGATGCCGAAAAAAGTGCCATTTAATTTACTGTTGCCAAAACCCGTTTATTCGTTACCCCTTAAAAGCTGCTACTTGGCATAGTTCTGTACAGCACTAAATGTTTATGCTGTTTAAGGCAAGTCATCATTTGAAAAACTGAAAATCATGGGAGGCCATCTCTTAGAAACCTACAATGTTGTTTGCGAGGCGTTAGGTTTGCTGGAAAATGACGGCGAATGGTATTCCTTGCTTTACGATGCCGGATTTCAATTGAGTTCTGCAAGTCTGAGAAAATTTTTGGGGTCTTGCTGGTTTTCTGCGAGCTGGCAGATCGATGTGAAATCTTCACAAAACACAGTGTCTTATGGAAGGATGATTTTCTCAAGGATTGCTTTGATCTGTCATCTGAGATCATCGACAACATGATTTTAATGGATATTGAGTTATTCCTGCTTTCACATGGAAAGTTTCTGTCGTTTTATAATCTTCTTTCCATTCATCTAGATTACCTCTTCTTTCCATTCATCTAGATTACCGAAAAAAGTTGAACGTTTATTTTTGCTAGATTCGGACGTGCTCACTATTGTAAAAGATGAACTTCGTAACGATAGAGAACAACTGGATGTTTTTGCCGCTGAAATGTTTGGAGGTTCAGTGAAGTCTTTAAATAGTGAGCAAAGAGAGTTTTCTCAACATGTCATAACATCTGTCAAAAGGAAAGTTCCAAGTTGCACATTTCTCGATGCGAGAGGAGGTACAGGCATAACGTACACTTTAAATGCCATTTTGGCAAGCGTACGAGCAATGAATCCGATTTCACCTCAATTGCCCTTGCAGTCGCTTCTAGTGGGATCGCTGCGACAGAACCTACCAGTGGCCGTACTGCCTATTCTCCATTCCAGATCACGTTAAACCTCCATGATTGCTCTGCTGAATGATCCGTATCAATCGCCTCTAGCAGATCTCTTAAGAAAAACTGAGGTCATTGTTTGGGACGAAGCGCCAATGATTCATTGATACGCTTTGGATCGAAGTCTTAGAGACATTATGGATAGTGATGTTCCGTTTGGGGAAAATCAATAGTGTTGTCACGCGATTTCAGCTAATGGGGTCTGAAAAAAATATTGAAAAATGTGTCAATATTTTTTCTTGTAGCCGTGATAACCTTCCCAAGTTCTTAGCCAAATTTTGCCAGATGTTAAAACTCGAGATCAGAGGCAGTCTAGTGTAGTTTGACTCAACAAGTCCTATCTTTGCCGTCATTTTACTGTGTACAGTCTACGTGAAAATATGCGATTTTCTACTGCGCATGACCAAGAAGAAGCCAAAGATTATGACAACTGGTTACTATCAGTTAGTAATGGCAAAGAAGGTGAAATCATAAAGCTTCCGGAGAACAGCACGGAGTATTTAAGGGATGATTCCCTTGGCAAAGCCGTTGAATGGGTTTTTGACAATTTCAAGTATAGAAAATTTTGAAACCTTCATTTAGTGCATTGTTATTATAATAACAACAGTTAGGCGTTTAGGCTGAGAATATAGGCGAAGAGAAATCTCGAGCTATTTTAGCTGTGCGAAGTTCAATGGTCAGCAGAATCAACTCATATTGTTGCGACTTGCTTATTCTCAGGTAGTAAGCCAAAGAAAACGAATTTTTCAACGTTTGCTTCAAGAAGCACAGTTTTTCCTTATGTCCGGTTATGTTTAGAATCGAGTTTTGAGTGCTACAGTGCTAATTTGTTGTGTTCGCCTGACGATGCATGTCAGTATACCACAGAGTTCTTCAATTCAGTAGCACCTGCCTGGATGCCAGACCATTTCATGCGTTTTAAGAGTGGTCTACCCATCATGCTCATATGAAATGTAAACCCCAAGAATGGCCTGTGTTACGGTGTGAGACTCACCATAGTTGATATGATCAACATTAAGCTAATAGTTGCACGAAAGCAAATTTCGAACGAGTTGCACTACATTCCGCGGATAAACCTTACAGCTGAAGAACCTGAAAACGCTCGGTTCAAATGGAAAAGGCGTCAATTTCCAATCAGGGTCAAACACTGGATAAATTGTTAGTGTGGCTGTGGGATCCAGTCTTTGGTTTCCAATTATGTGTAGCAGCGTCCAGAAAGCGTAACCACAGACATATACGTTTTTGCATCAGCGATGAAAGCGAAGGGTTGAGTACTAAAAACATAGTTCATCTTGAGGCTCTATAAAACCTATTGTGAAAATAATTTGTTGTAAAGTTTTTGTTTCTCTTTTCGTTTTCATATTTTTTGGCATAGTTTCTTCGCTTATTATAAAAACTCCAATGGGAAAACAACATTACCTCAAACTTAAGAATCATTAGCATTCAACTTTTTTTCAAACAGTTTTGACTCATGTGACTCAATATAGTTGCTTGCCTTTTACTTCTGATTCTTTCTTGAAGAACCTGATCGGAAAACTTTTAGAAATATCATTGCTAAACGGATAAATTGTTGTAGATATAAAATGTTGTTGCAGTTATCATTCAACACAAAAGTGAGAACTTTTGTTTTCTTTTCGTTTGACTTTTTTCGCTTCGAAAAATAGTTAAATTGCTCATTGAAAAATTTTCAATTTAAAAACCAAATCTGAGAATTTTTAAATTGAGACATCTTCAGCTCATGAACTTCTTGCTTATTTTGTGAAACTTGCGAAAAACTACAAATAAAGGATAGATGAAACGAAAGAAGAAAAAAGATAGGTAAAAAAGAAAGTTAGAAAGATAGTTAAAAAAGTTAGATGAAAAGATTGATTAAATAGTAAAAGGTAGATAAAAAAAGATAGATGAAAACAAAGAACAAAAAGCTGGATAGAAAAGACAGATAAAATAATCTCATGGCATCAATTACATTGAAGTTTTTTTACAGTTTTCATAATTTGCTCATTGTAATTTAAATTGAGTTTTTTTGAATTTTTTTTTCGTAAATTTTGGATTTTTTGTGTTTTAAAAGTACCAGTCGGAAATCGTTTTTGAAAAAACTGCTGTTTTTGTTAATCTTTTTCTTAAACAGTTTTTAGGGACGTGAAGATTTTTTTATGAGTTGTTCCCTGACATACAGTGTTATTATTGACAGCTGTATATGGTTTGTTTCAAATCTTCAGTTTTAACAGTGAAGTTTTTGTTTGTGTCATTTTTTTTCTGTTTGAACAGTCTGTTATGCTAATGCTTGTTTCAGCCGAGGCTTCCAGGACTCTAGGAGAGTCATCCAGGGTTCTTGGAGACCTGGATTCCTTCTCCATAGATCCTTCGCCAGAGGTTTCTCCGCTCATTGACGACAATATCGAGGACTAAATGGGTGGGGTCCTCGGCACCAAATTAAATTATTTATGTTTTTTTTTTCATTGTTGTATATGAATTGAAACTTATATTAAAAATTTTTAAATGCAGCAAGTGCTGCACCGTGTCGCTAGTGTATTTTACTTTTGCCAAAACCCTTTTATTCTTTACCCTTTCAAAGATTCTACTTGGCATAGTTCGCTGCTGTTTGCGAAGCCTAGTTTTGCCAATAGGGTTCATTTGTTTGCCAGTAGGGTGCATTTATTTTTTTGAAATGTGCCCAAACACGAAATTTTAGACCCATTTCAGCCTAACCCGAAAAATGTCCTGAGACCTGTCCAAAAGTTGAATTCGCAAGGATGAATCCTTCGATCAGACATGACTCGTAACTTCAATTTTTCAGACTGAATAGTTTCGAGCAATGGATGGAAGTGAAGCTTTTTTAGTTAATGTGGCGACTGGCAAAGAGATCAGCCTGACTGATTTAAAGCCAGGCGTAGAACTTGTTTTAGGAAGAGGCACAATGTTAGATATAGAAGATCCAAGGGTGTCTCGATCACATGCTTTGATTCGTCTCACTGAAGCATCAGTTGTAGAAATAAAGCCGGTAGCAAAAAATCCCATGTATTATTTTGAAGCAACAGATGAAATTGATCTATTTAAAAGACGTATAATGACCAAAAATGTGTTTACACCTATTCGGCATGGAGATAGGATATCGTTTCTCTCGGAAGTTCTAATATTTGAACTGTATCATCCATCTGAAGTAAGAACGGACGAATCATTTGACGGTAAAACGGCTGATAACGACAACGATTCTTCTGAAAATGATGGTGTCATTGTACCGCTTGTTCCGGACAGTTTGAATGACGACAAGAAGACAAGCGATTGCTCGGAAATAAGTCCATGTAAGATTGTAGGCGACTCTCAGCCTAATGAATTGCAGTCTGCGTCCATCGCGGAAGCACCTGAAATTCAATCCCCGAGAAAAAGAATGTCAAACGAAGGAAATGAAGCTTCGAGCTCGAAGAAAAGAGATTCGCACGAAGTAGAGAACTCATTGCACGCTCATATTTCTAGAGCAAGCGTCACTTTCTCTCCTGATGTGTTCACTTCAACACGGCTATCTGCTGGCCCTGATCTGAATGATACTCCGCCACAGAATAGAATAGAAAGATTTGATATTGATGATGGAAGTAGAGCGAATGACATAAGTATGCTGATCAGAAAGAGCTTGCGGAAGAAATGTGTTTATGCTGGCTCCTGCTATAGAAGCTGTAGAGAACACAAGAAACAGTACTGTCATCCAGGAGATTCTGATTATTTGGAGTCTGACGAGGAAGATGCTACAACAGGCAGAGACGAGAGCTCAAGTAGTATAAACATTTCCAAACCCAAATGTCCATATGGAAAAAAGTGTTACAGACGCAATGCTGCACATAGAGCCCACTACTGTCACGAAGATTTAGAAAATACAAGTATCGCTAACAGTTCAGCCGCTGATCATTCCAATAATAATGCAAGGCGTTCTCGACTCAATGTGCGCAGTGAGCAGGAACTGGATGACATGATAGATCAAACATATGACTACGACGACAGTTTCATAGACGACGGGAGTGATCTGGAAGAAGAGTCTGAAGATTATTCGGAGGAGGAAGAGAGTAACGACTCAAACGGAGTCTCCAGTGCAGAATCAGACCACTCCTCACGACCTTTAAACGATGAAAATAAAACTCAGGGCACCAAAAAGCCAGCGCGTAATGCGGGCTTTCGACGTGTTATGATAGAAACAAGCGAAGACGAAGATTCATGACGATTTTTGATCGTAGTTGTTTACAATTGTTTTGTTTTTTCTTGTTCATGTTGGCTTTCCTTTTGCTCTAGTCTGGTAGTTACTAATGATTAATGATTTTTTTTTAAAATTTGAAGTTCACTGATTTAGATGCGATAATATATTCTGTAATAAAAACTTTGATAGTTACACGTTGCGAGTATAGGAAAAGCATAGTGTTAAGCATTCGCGCTCCAACAGATTTTAACACGTCGACTTAAGCCCTTGCAGCGTTTTGGCTTTTTAAGAGACCAACGTAGGGACTTCTTAAACATGTGCCAAAGAAAATTTCTGAAGCATTACAATGTACGATATAGCTTAAGCGTGCAAAAATTCTTTCGTTAAACATGTCAACATAGGGACTTCTTAAACATGTGTCAAGTGAAACGCCAATTAAATAAGGTAGAATTTGAAGTTCTTAACCCTATAGTGGGTTGCTATCAAGGTACACTCAGGGGTTGCAAATCTGGCGTCAAATGATGACTGCTCAAATCCGTTTTGTTTTCGCGATATGGCGTTTTTTATGATTTTTTAATGTTTTTTTTCCAATTTTGAATTTTTCGACCCTTTGGCGGAGTGATGTCAGATTTTGGTTGCATTAATTTCTTTGTTTTGCATATAATTTATGCATGAGCTGTTTTCATGTTCACCAATCTGTTTGAAGCACCGGAGGTGCGTCACACGCTAGTTGTTTTGTATGGTTTAAATTTCCAGATCAGATGAGCCTGTCTGGTTCTGAGTTGGATCTGCAGCAGACATTAGAAAGACAATGGCAGCATTCTGTGCAGAAATATGAGGATGAATCGAACAAGAAAAAAGCCCGAGAAACAGTTCCATTAGTACAGCTGACAACAAATGCTCAGCGCAAGTTCCTTAACCGAAATGAGAAGGATAAAAGGGGCAGTATAAAAGAGTTCCTCTTTTTGGAGTTGCTCAGGTGGTTTAAACTGGAGTTCTTTCAGTGGGTAGATACTCTAGCATGTGATGGGTGCGGAGGCAAAACTCAGAACAGAGGGATGCTGGGGCCGAATAATGAGGAGCTGAGGTACGGGGCGGGAAGAGTAGAGAACCACTTGTGTAGCAAGTGTGGTTTTACAAATAGGTTCCCAAGGTACAACTGCCCTGTGAGGTTGCTAACAAGCAGAAGGGGTCGCTGTGGCGAATGGGCCAACTGTTTTGTCCTTCTCTCCAGGGCTCTCAACTTCGAGACTCGATATGTGTTGGATGAGACTGACCATGTATGGGCTGAGGTGTTCAGTGAGAGTCTAGGAAATAGATGGACACATGCGGACCCCTGTGAGAATGCATTCGACAAACCACTCCTGTATGAGAAAGGGTGGAAGAAGAAACTCACTTATGTCTTTTCAATATCAGCACTTCAAGTGCTAGATGTAACATGGAGATACTCACAAGACCATGCACAGCTACGGAACAGGAGGACTAAATACAGAGAAGCGATGGTTGTCAGAATAACGGAAAATGTCAACGACAAAATCAGAGCTCACAATTATGGGCTAGACTGGTCCAAGATAACATTGCGGTTGATTACAGAGTATGTGGAGTTTCTAAATAACGATGCCAAGCTGAATGCGAGACTGAAAGAGGAGAAATGGGACAGTTCGGGTCTGCAAGGTAGAACTACAGGCAGTGTGCAATGGAGGAAAGAGAGAGGCGAATTGGGGGACTGCTCGACAAGCGGGAGTAGAATTGAGTCGAATTCGAACGTGTTTCAAATTGAACCCCCTCCTGACGCCACTCGAGGGGTAGCCAATTTGACATACAATCCTGGCGAAGACCTTTACTCCTTCAATAGTTGTGTAGATGAAGGTTTGACCAGTTCTAGCCTGTACGGATGGGAAAATGGTGTTTACCAGTCTCAGAATATCTTCCGAAAGGAAGAGTTTGACTGGAAGATGGTTTACCTGTGCAGGAATCCAGAATGCAGAGTGGGTGAAAAGGGAGTCATCAGCTGGAAGTTTTCCCTGCCGACAACAAGTGCTTTTAAATTTGACCAGGCCCTCATTAAATGTCATAGTAAATTGTACGAGAATGCAAATGTATCTCTTCGGGTTTCATCTGTACGGAAGGCTGACAAGAAGGAGAGTTTGATCGAGGAGTTGGACAGTGATGCTGAACAAGTGTCTCATACCATTGACCTCTCTTCAGTGGCGGACTGTTCTGTTATTCTAACTGCTACTCTCAGTGGGGGGAGGGGAGATGTGCACTGGCAACACGCACAGCTGTTCAGAGAAGCTATCAACCAACCTAGTCAGAATCCACTGCATATCAAGTTACACTATTCTCACTCATAATATTTCCTAACACGACAGCTCGCAACTACAGACAACTCGAAAAAAGACGGATAGTATAATTTAGCCCAAAATGCGTTAACTTGCAATAAAGTCGAAATAATCCCGCAATTACCCCTAATGGTCCCCCGCTTAGTGCTAACTAAATGTTTGTTAAATTAATACATAACTTTAAACAATTATTGCAGAGAGTTATGAGTCTTTTTGATCGCTTAATTCCAAAATTTTTGATTGCATTAATTGTCTAATTGCTCGCAGTCGAAATAATTTTCATTCTGATTTCTGCATCTATTTCTACTTATTTGAAACATGAAGTTGTGCCAAAGACCGTTGGAGACATTCGAAAGTCCCACGGAACTTCGGTCGACTCTAAGGGGGAGAGCTTTTTGACCCACGACTCGGTACGGGGGATTGCGACCGACTTATTGAACATGGACATTCTGGACATTCTTGAGTGATACACGTGGCATGCTGATGGCATATTTATAAGTTGCCCCTCGCTGTTTTACCAAGTATACACTGTACATGCTGTTATAAGCAACTGCTCGCTCTCAATGGTTTTTTTTTCTATTGCAGAGCAAAACTCAGCAGCAACACCGGCAAACTCACCAGAAACACTCGTGTGTTGAGTGAACAGAACCGATTATTAGAGCCTACAGAAATTGTAATTGATTTTGAAAAAGCAGCACTTTCGGCTTTCAAACCCGAATTCCTCTTAGCGTCTGTAAAAAGGTGCTTCTTTCAATTTGCGTAAAAATTTCAAGAATTTGGACTGGCAGTCGACTACAGAGAAGACAAAGAATTACGAAAGAAAGTTAAATCCTTTATTGCGCTGGCTTTGATCCCTGAGTGCGACTTGAAGCTTGCACTTGAATCTTTTTATGCCAGAACTTGTGAGAATGAGCTCCAGACGTATCTCGATTGTTTCTAAAGAACGTGGTTGTGGCAGTATGTATGTGGAGTTTTACGAAAAGATCCTGATTTTAAACCAGCTACATGGAATCAGTTCAACAATGCGCGAACTGGAAGCCAAAAAACAGTTAGTTCGGTCGAAGGATGGCATAGGTGTTTTCAATAAGAAATGGATTATGCTCACCTCGCTTTATCGAATATCATTCACCAAATAAGAAGGTTCAGGAGATACACCCTATAAATGTCCTAAATATGAACAATTGCAACAAAGGAGATCAGAAACCTTTAAAAAACAAAAAGAAATCAGACACTCTAAACGATTCATTTTTGCAATGGAAAGTCTGTGATTAAGCTTGGACGCCTCAAAACCTTCAATATTTTACCGCTCTTTTATTTCAATTTTAGAATAAAGGAACTTATGATTTTCGTTAGTGTTTTATATGAGTTATCCATTTTTTTTTACAATTTGGACATTCATCTGGACTCATTGATCTCCGTTTCTTAAAATTTTTTAAAGTTTGTTGAGTTTCAATTAGAACTACTTTCATATAAATGGTAATTTGAACTACTATTATACAAGGTGTAATAAGTCAAAACCGTCTTCAGGTTTTAATTATATTTTCGAAAAATTCTCAATTTTTCGGGTTGGTGGTTTTCGTCCTGGTTTCTGTCGGTTCATTTCCCGTTTTTTTTTGAACCGCCATTATCTGGTTGGTTTTTTTGGCCCGATTTTAAAATCATGGCTTTTGTTCCAATTTAAACAGGTTTCACTATAACTGAAGTTTGTGAATTTAATCAGTCTGATTTTGAAAGTTTTCTCTACTTTAAGCAGCTAGAACGTTTAGCAATCAAAATCAGTCAATGAATTAACTGGGAAAGTTTTTAAAGTTTCGTAGCTTTAAAAGTTTGATTTAAAAAGTTTTCTTGAACCGATTCGTTTTATTATATTTCTTGAAGTATGTCAAAGTTTCATAAATTAAATAGCTATCTGAGAAGCACTTAATCATTTCGCCATCGGGTTTGCTTGTCTTATATGAGTTATTTATTTTTTTTACAATTTGGACATTCATCTGGACATAGATCACCGTTTTTTAAGTTTCTTAAAGTTTGTTAAGTTTCAATTAAAACTACTACCATATAAGTAGTAATTTGAACTACTATCATACAAGGTGTGCTTAGTTAAAACCGTCCTCAGGTTTTAATTATACTTCCGAGAAACTCAATTTTTCGGGCTGGTGGTTTTCGTCCTGGTTTCTGTCGGTTCATTTTCCGTTTTTTTTGAACCGCCATTATCTGGTAGGTTTTTTCGGCCCAATTTTAAAATCATGGATTTTGTTCCAATTAAACAGGTTTTACTATAACTCAAGTTTGTGAATTTACTCAGTCTGATTTTGAAACTTTTCTCTACTTTAAGCAGAGTGTTTAGCAAACCAAATCAGTCAATGAATTAATTGGGAAAGTTTCTAAAGTTTCGTAGCTTGAATAGCTTGATTAAAAAAGTTTTCCTGAATCGGTTCGTTTCGTTATATATCTTGAACTATGTCAAGATAGCTATCTGAGAAACACTTAATCATTTCGCCATCAGTTTCGTTTTATAAAATAAATTGAAATAATTCAAATTTTAATAGCTTGATTAGCTTGCTTTGGAAACCCTATAGCATTTGACAAAACGATTCGCTTTAAGAAACAGCTTGGATTTTTCGAAGTTTATCGCTACGTTAGCTCGCGCAGCAAAGCTAATTTTTCGCAAAACTTTAAGAAAGATCTTGGAAATATTTTAATTGTTCCTAGCTTCGATAAACAATTGTTCATAGCTTCAATAAACAGTTATCTAACTCAATATATCTCTCATTGTTTTAAAATGCATAATTAATACTCAATTTGTTTTTTTTGTTTTCCAATTGACTACATGCAAAATTAGTGTGGATGCCTTCAGTTTATAATATTCAAAACTACTTTTGTTAGCATACGTAGCTGCTTTATATGACTACTGTTTGCCAGTTGTTAAGCATTCATGGACGAGAGGGCAGGGTGTGAGACTCCAATAGTCGAGCTCGCAGGTTCAAAGCTCATACGAAGGAAAGTTTTACTAATTCGAGTCTTATTTCTATGTTCATATTTGACTTTCTAAAGCTGATTTTTTGCGTTCTTGCTAGTTATTCTTTCAAGTATTTTTTTTCAACGATTCGGTGTAAGAAACAGCTTGAATTTTTTTTGAAGTTTATCTGATTGTAGCGCAATAAGTTTTTGCATCAAAGGTGATCTTGTAGCACAATAAGTTTTCGCATCACAAGTGTTGCGATGCTCCGCTTCGCCTCTGTGTAAGAAATTGCGAGTTGTCTTTTTTGCGAGTTGTCGCGGCACCATAATATTTAACCACAAGACATGTCTATAAGAGCTCAAACCGATTAATTATAAGAGTAAATTATAAACAGATTTATAACAGTTAATTATAAATAATTCATATCCAGTATTTAAAATGAGGCCTTTAGTTTCAAATTTAGCTGGAATTAGCCCATAGTTTTCCTCCAGTTTTTGCCATAAAAAATAAGAAAACTTACAAATCTAATTCGAACCCAGCCCGATTCGATCATTTTTATGTTCAGTTTTATTGCGGTATATAAACCAGCGCTACATTCTTTGCGAAGGCTATTAATACAGGTTACACACACGTATGTAGGCTTTTCTCGGACGGAATTTATCGTGTTATTAGCGCGAGATATACTGCATTCTGATAACACGCGTAAGCGGTGGGTTAATGCGTTCCCAATTGAATTGATGCAAACCATTGGGTCTTAATTTTTTTTCAGTTATTTAATAAATTTTTCAATTAAAACTATCATTTTAATTGGACTTAACGGGCAGTAGGAACATTTAGGGCTTAGCCTTGATATGCGAGGAGTCTTGTTTTTTATTGGCTATTTATTTGGCCTTTTCCAATGTTTTGCAAGACGAGAAAAGAAACATCACTTGACAAAATTTAAAAGTGAGTTGCGAAAGCGCACTGAGACTCCGTTTCCAATAGCATTGTCTGGATATTTTGCTTGCGTATGTGAAGCGCCACTTCGTCTCTTGTCACATTTTCTAATTTTTTTTCCAAGTTCCAAATCAACAATGCTACTCTGTAAGAATGTTTTCTTTATTGCATTTTGACCCGGTGTTTTTCAGTGTTCTTTTCAAGGCTTATTTTCAATCACGCTTTTTCATGACATATCATGACATTTTTCAATATTGCGGTGAGCCACAATATTACAATCTTATATAAGACATTTCCTTCAATTCAAAAGTTTTTATCGTGTGATAATGCCTGAAAAGGCTCAAAGCACTGCAACAATTTCATCTGAATGCATGGGTGTGCGGTTGGTTTCGGCTTTGAATTGCTGCTATTCAGTTTTCTTAAGTTCGATGAAAATTTGCCAGTATTTATGACTGACGTAATTTATGTTATACTACAATTTTGCTATAACATAAATTGCAATCGAAAAGTTACTTCTATCCATATAGTTTGAATAGTTTCTGATCCATTATTGTTAGTATTTTTTGTTTAGACAAATCATTTGTTTTTTTTTTGAATTTTTTAAAAAGGTTTAAGAACGAGTTCGGATTTTCTCCATCTTTATGTTGACACTTCGATGATATTTTTCTTCTGATGTTCTCATGTATCGCAACCACGATGTTTTACGGTTTTTAATGTTTCCGAGCGCTTCAGTCAAAGCGATTGGAACAAACTATGGATTAGCTATGGATTACCTACTAAAAATAACCAAAAAAAACTTTAAAATATCAAAAATGAATATTTGATAAATTTTCTTCTTTTGCAGATTTTTATATATCGTTACAATTTTTTAGTGATAGGAATTGTACGTTTAGGGGACAGCTCATCTAGGTACGTTCACACAATCTAACCAAACGGCACCGCAAAATGGTCCCTTTGGTAATGAATTCAGCGGGGCGACCGAGGTTCACTACTATCCACAATCCCGAAAGGGTTAAGTTGGTGGCAACTATTCCGCACTGTATTCGGGTACTTGCCCCCTTTTTGTAGTTAGTGCTCTTGAGGCTGTCTGGTTGCAAGAAATTTCATTTGTAAT